ATTATATCAATATTTGTTTTCTTGTTTTTAAAGTTTTCACAACGAGCTAGCGATGATTTATGTGTTACAGATTCAAAATGTTGAATTAATTTTTCTAAAAGAATAACCATCGAACAATGCATCAACGTATATTATTTGTCATAGAGCTTATATAACTCAGATCTAACTTGGGTTTTATAGATTTCATGCGGAGTTTGAACGTTTTATACTCATTATTTGCTCTTGTAGACTAGATAACTTATATGAGATCAATTTACGTTTTTTTCTTTTCCTCGACCTTCCATTTTATTCCAAGTATTCACCCCAGTCCACAACCAAGCTTCATCCAGCTTTTCATTTCCTGGCCCTATAAAAAGCAATGAAAGTGGTTGGTATACAAACAATGACAATCAAGCACACAAAAAACTACTCTCACCAATATGAAATAGTCGGCATGTAAAACAAAATGCTGCATCTTTCTTCTGACTATATTCTAAATAGGGAAATTCGGAATACTATTTTGCGGCAAATCGACATGTTTTTTTGTTTGTGCAAGTATATTGTTTGCTGGGTAGTGTTGTAGAATAGGTTGTGATGGATCAATAGATACGAGATATCTTAATTCTTCTTCTGTAAATATATGACCTGATTTATAATTGCCTTAAACGAAAAAAGTATTCTAATGAATACGGTATGAGAGATTATTAGCAGAAGAACACCTCAACCATTTTGAGTATTACCTGGATCTCTGTTAACTAGTTCATTATTTTTTGTTTCAATTATTGTTATATTTTCACGATCGTTCTCAATTTTCCTAATTGATTCCATACATAATAATTTTAAATCATTTTCAACTTTTAGTATTTGATTAGCAAACTTTAATACTCTCCGAATAAAGTTTTCTTCACATATGGCAGACGTTGTAGATTGTTTAATTAATTCTTCAGGAGAACAAAATGATGTTTGAATATATCTAAGCTGCACACTAACTTGATCTACAGTTGATTTATATTTATTTATATCAATTTTTGAACAACTGTTGAATTTATCTTCATCCATATCTTCTGGTTTATCTACAAACAAAGTTGACCTATAAATCTATGTGTGTGAGATGTTATAGTATCGCGAACACCTATATATATTTTCGACCGTTACCAAGAGAAACAATGATCTTCAACTTACCAGCCATTATACTTTCATTTTCTTCATTATTCGATAGTTTGCCATTATTTGTCAGATTTATCTCGTTCACAGCTGTGCTTTCGTCTACTGTTGAGATATCCATGTTTTCAATACATTTCAATACATTAAACTGTTCATTTAAACATGATATTTCATTCCCTGTCATAATACTGTTTTCTATAAAATTGTAAAAAATATTTTTTAGAGTTTCTGAAAAACTGATGTTTCAGACAACCGAATCTTCAAAAGTAACGTTCATTATTTTTTGTTTCAATTATTGTTATATTTTCACGATCGTTCTCAATTTTCCTATACACTTAAAAAACATCAACACATTCTCAAAACCTCAGGATATGATTAATCTTGTCCGCCAAACGTGATGAGATCTAAAAGCATATTTTGGTTAATAGGTTTTAAAGAAACTCTTTTGGAAAACCTGATGGTTCTGTAAAATTTATTTCGAGATCTCCTATAAACAGGATATAGAATAGCTTAAATACTCTACATTCTGAAGTTTTGAACTCATTCTGGTGTTTTTTAAGTGAATAGTGAATTTTTTAATATCAGGTGAAAACAGCCTGAAAACTAATTTTTGTAAAATTGATTTTTCGGTAGAATTTTTAAAACTTTTTCTACAAACAATATTTCCGCGAAGCTCGGCTTGGTCGACTATCCCAGATTTATCCATCTTTAAGGCTACCAATAGTCATCGGGTCACAGTCCTTGGATTCGTGGGAAATTCGATACAACGTCCGAACGGCGGAAAATTAAGGTATGACTTCGTTCCCATTTTGAAGAGGACACCCGACCTATCAGTCCAAAGAAAAAGCAATACAATCCTTTACAGATGGTGTGGTTTTCCAAAGATCTCCCAGAAAAGCTGTTTCGGAAAACTGTTCTGAAAACAATGCTGGTTATGAAAACATGCCTCCAACCCTTCTCTTTTGAATAGCAAAAACCGTACGTGTCTATCACCTTTCGGTCAAAAGTTATAAGCATTTTTCCAAATCTTCTTCTTGAATTTCAATAATAAATTATTTAACTACTGCACCTTTTAACCAATAATGTGTATAGTGGTTCACGAAACGTCTCGAATAAGCAGTTAGCATGATTGCCTGAGTGTCTATGATCCAGTAAATTTCTTCAGACTTAAAGATTTTTTCAAATTTCGTATGCTCATAGAAATAAGTTGTTTTAGGCAGAGGTATAACCGGTATCAAAAATGCACCGGTATGCATGACACTAATTGAGATAACAGGACCACAATAGACCCAACTTTTTCTTTTTCCGTCCTTTCCTAACACACAAATACATGGAGTTTTTGCATACATTTCGTTCGAAAAGTATTTTACTCTTATCAACTTAAAGAAAATCTTAACTTTATGTAGAAATCCACAGAAGACAATGGCGAATCGCATCGTCTGTTTTTGTCTAA